ACCTTCGAAAATGTGTTTGAGTCAGAGGATTGATTTAGGAACTTTAACAGTTGATTCGACAGTAAAATGTCTCCTGCTGCGCGGCTTTATTGGTTTTTCGTTATTAAAAAGAAACACGATACATTCTCCCTAAGTCTGAATACTTAATTTTCGCAAATTATATCGTTTATCAGTGTGTCCAAATAAAGGACCTTGTCTTCTTTCGCTTTGGTTTTTCATCTGAAAGGGATATAATCGTATATTTTTAGTTGCATCCATCCATTGCGAGATGATGTGTTTTTGTTGTTTAATGCTGAGCGTGCGACATTAATCTCAAGAGAAGCAAGCTTAAAATATTAATTATTTTATGTATGTTCACCTCAATCTACACTTCAATAATCCATTTTTGTATGGCAAATCAATTGTGTAAAGTTCCTTTGTAAATTTCTTTTAATTTTTTTTTTCAACTGAGGACTTAAGTTGTTTGAATTGTCTAGCTAACTGATAGGATTTGTATGAATGAAAATTATTGCTTTAAGCAGCTAACGCTCTGATTGTGGTTTCAATTTGTTTTTAGCATTTATCACTTTGCATTTAATTAGGTTAACACCCCTTTCTCAGAGTGGCAAAGTCCCAACAGTTAAAAGGAAAATCCGAATTTTATGTTTGTAATATTCAAAAACGAATATACGGCATATCAAGAACATATGATCATAATCCCTTGTGCATATATATTACTATTTGAAAGTACTGCTTATAAGCTTTCATTTAAATGTTCACACACGCGTGGGGGGTTTCAATCACAGAGCTAAAAGTGCGGAATACAATAATGTATTTAAAGTTTTCGCCTTTTGTTGCAGAAGGAGAACAAAAGCAAACAAAATTGCACACAGCGATACGAAAGCAGAGCAAGTTAACAATTTTTTTCGCTTTTGAAAGTAGCGACATTCAACAATAGTCACCGCGTTTCTTGCTGCAAGGCTTTTCCGTGATCACGCTGTTGAGAATTTGAAGTAATTATTTTGCAGCCAAAGAACTGTTTCACTTCTGTTTGGCTACGTTTAATTATTTAAAGCATATGTGTTGCAACTGCGAATCTTGAAAAGATCTTTGTTTATCCATATCATTCTTTGCACTAAAAAGAATATGAAATTGATTAGTAAAAATCTACATTCAGTAGCTGTTTAGAATCTCAAGATGTTTGAGCTACAGCGAAATTATTTCTTTCTTACTTTTTAATAGAAAAAAAGATAAACCGGACTGCGCTTTAAAAGGCGTTAAAGATCTTTCGTAAAATAACAAGCGTGGACGTTTGCTTATCGAAGAGGTAACGGTATTTCGTCGACCAATTGATGTGATGTCTGTCGGTTTGGGCTTATCACGATTTCAAATCAAAATCAAAATAAAATTGAACGTGTTTCAAACAATATTTTATAACAAAAGAAAATACAAAAGACTGCAAATGTTTTGAGAGCAAAGTGGAAGCATGAAGGCACAGCTGAAAGAAACATTATTTTGATTCTGAAACTATATTACACTTCCTACCTGACAATGGGAATTTCAGATAACATGGTGTAGTTTATTTTCAAATCTACTTAGTGGAGGGAGAACACGCATCTCGGTGGACTTTGATCCATCTAACGCCCACAGTGAACCTACACATCAAGCAAGTATTGTAGTAGGCCATATTCGTATTCTCAGTGATGGACTGGAACTAGCTTGCAATGGAGGCTCATGCGGGGGAATACCATTAAAAAGACTCCCCGCATTAGCCTCGGTTGCAAGCTAGTTCCAGTCCTATGCCGAGAATATGAATATGGCCTATGGAAGGAATTCGTAATATCGCGCATAGCCTTTCCTCACGCGACCGTTATTGTCGGAAAGAAACTGGCCACCAGCACAAAGTCATTCTCATCATCAGGTCGCTTGTCCCTCGTAGCCGTCGGGGCCTTGGCACGAACAAAAGGTTGCTCTGGATCAACATCCTTTGATTGGTTAGATCCTTCTACTAAGATCTGTACTAAATCAAAGCTGGTATGCAGAAAAATAACATTAAGCGTTACGGACACTGGGGTATCTAATAACAGAGACAGCTAGGACGAACAGGCACTGTATATAATTTCCCTGTTATTACGTCTCGGACTTTAGCTATCCATCTTTTAAAATATATTTGATTAGACTGATGCAAATTGATGGCTTGCCCACAGGGTACGTCTAGCCTCGAATTTTATTATATTAAAACAAGGCTGATAAAAACGACCACACGGAAATTGGTTTTGATTTCTCGATATCTGTGACACTAGGTCACTCCTCATCTTATAGGGTTGCTGTATTTGCGTCTTCTTCGATTTTTCGCCATGTTCAATTGTTGACATGTCTTCCATTGTTTGCGAAAAGGTCTTGGAAATTTAGTATTATTATTATTTGTTCCTTTTCATAAATATAACCTAAAGCACGTTCAGTTGGGCCGAAGGTAATAAGGTATAGGGCAAGAATTACCAAATAACTTTCGATTTCAAGACAGTCTATGCACTTACACATCGAACTGAAACAATAGCAGTATATATTAGACCGCCTCGCCATGATTTGAAAGCATGCGTTTTCAGTTCACAACGGATACTACAAGGACTTTTTCAAAATTAGAAATCCTCAGATTGTAATCAGCTTTAAAGATTCCTGTCAACGAAAACAGAAAAGAAAAAAAGGTTAAGTTCTCTGTACAAAGTTTTCAATTTCTTTCATCACCAAGGAAATGAGTTTTTCGGTCCGATAACATAATTGTTGGAGTTTCAATATTTGCTCATGAAATGTATCTTCATTTGTTGAACTTAAATCAAACTTTCATCAAAATTTCTCCGTTGCCATAGAAACACAAATGTTAATTTAAAAACCTAATATTGCATTTCATATTCAATGTTAAATATTGCCAGTTGTTGAATTCAACTCGTCAACCATTATGTTTATTGACAAAGACTGACTTATTGTTGAAAGTTGGCTATCGTTCCAGGTCTATCAAATGTCGATTTCAAATGGATGATCTTTTCATGTACGCATTTTTCAAGGTGTTAGAAAATATACAGTTTTTTTTCCTAAAAACGGCTTCATTTTTGTTTGCGTGTTACAGATGAGACACCTTGTTAACACTTATTTTCACGGTATAAAAATAGTGTAAATGTATATAAATTGCCGACGGTGATTACTTCCCGTATTGTACATGGCATTTACAATAAAACAATAAGATGGGAGTTGTTTCATAGAAAATGCAACTTATTTTAACACGAGCCTTAAATTAAGCCGACTAATTACGCATCTGCTTGTCTACTGAAAGGATTAGTTCTGGAGAAAAATAAATGCAGAGACTCTTAGAGCTTGAGGCAAGTCTGCTGGACATGTTGGATACCATTGTCTTCAGTTGTAGTTTTAATTTGGTTTTCAGCGAGACAAATTTCACGCCGTGTACCTTAGTTATGCAAGTTTTGATTTTTCTAAAAAATGTTTTGATTTATCGACTCAGTTCGCAATTAAGAATATATTTATACCGATATTCTTCGTCTGACAACAAAATCTACGGATGCAATTCACTTGGTTGTAAAATAACTCAGATATTGTTTGGTATATTTGTTGCACGGGTAATTATCGGCCCGTACGTGCTAGCGTGTATATTGAAAACTTGTAATTTTCTAGGCTTCAGGATACGCAAATATTAATCCCACTCACAGGTGAGAATTAAATTGTAATAATCAACAATCGTCGAAACAAAGTAGTGTTAAGGAAGCGAATGTGACGAGTCCCTTGATGAAATACACCTTAAGCGTATTGTGCTATGCTCTCAAGTGATCGACAACTCGAAAAAGACCAAAAGCTTTTGTTCAAACAATGCAGGATAAATGGGCCAACATCGTCCATGATTTTCTCATACGTCGAAGCTTGCTCGCAGTCATCGAATTGTTTCGCACAAGATAAAGACAGTACCCACTATAAATGGAAGGTAACTATTACTTTAGCAGATAAAAGCGAAATTGTGGCTTTGAAACATTCTATTTCTAGCTTCGGTGATAAATCAGAAACAAATAGATATAATTACATCTCTGAAACCCTGAAATCGTACTTGATTGTGGTACTCGTTAATACCTCGTACTGCATAATGGAGATTTTCCGTGACGAGTTGAAGGAAATCAATAGAATTCCACATCGTTGAATACGACAAGTTATCTTTCTTAATGCTTTAAAACAAGAAGATAGGCTGTTACGTTTAGGAAATGTTTGCAAGTTTATTACGTTGCTAGTGTTACTAAGATGCGAGGATTTAACACACAATGGGCTTGTCGTGTTAGCTGCTGTACAGTTTGTACAACGACTCGAATTTCACGTCTCTTGATTAAATTGAAGTAATATTCTTGGAAGTTTTTTTTTTTCCTTTGTATTGTCCTGTTCACGAAATTTGTTAAATGTTTCTGTTCCACTGATCGATTTGCAAACGTCTTTCCTTCTTTTTTTCGGTCAGTACTCGTAATCAAAGTTAAAGACAATGCATTTATCACTTATACATAAGAGTTCCAATGCTCGGAGTCTACTAATAGTCAGCGGGGCTTGGGTTTTAAGATGAGTTTGAAATGGATAAAAGAATGAATGTTAGTTCGAAAGTGGCCAACCGGAGGAAATCGTTTTAAGCCTAAGAATGCTTTTCCAACAAAACATCTACCAAAATAGCCCTTTACAGCGCCAAACAGTCGCATTCTTGAGTCTGCGGTTGAATTTTACGCTGATTCAGTCATCGCGTGAGATAAAATGAATTATTTTAGGTGAGATCATAGGTTTTGTTCAAAATATCCCCAGGGGAAAACTAGAAAAGCCTGCTCGCTGTGAACTACGATAGCTTTCTTATATTTATACTATTACTATTGTTATTATACATATTATTTTGTTAATGAACTTATCTACCCAAAAAATTGTCCTTGATCAAAAAAAAAAGAAAAAGAAAATACCAACCGCACATTTTTGTTAATAGAGCGATTCTTTCGCGACACTCCTAAGGACAATGGAGTTATGATGTTTTTTTCGGACGGAAATAATAGGATAGCGCTGTTTCTTTTTAACCTGGCGGCGTTCATTCCTTTCGCCTCTTAAGCCTCTCGCCAAGGGGCTAGGCAATGACCGCTATTTTGGGCGTAGTATGGTTTATAACCCGTTTCGGTTGTGACAATATATTTCCACCACATTAGTCTGCAAGGCATAATTTCTCTTGTCTGGAATTGGGTGTGGTTCAAGAAAAAGAGCTAGATTTTGTCCACTAACATTCGAGACTTCTGAAGCCCTTCCGTTAATATGTTTACGCAAACAGAAGCAATTCCTCTATAGTGGAGTTAACGCATTCCACACGCGTAAAAATTTCAAAAATCTGACTCATGTTTTTGAAATCATAAATCTTGGTCCACACCAAAACAATGTGGAAACTAAACCTCTTCCCCCAAGAGGTTCCTTTCAAACCGTCAGAAACTCACATTCATGCTAATTTGGAATAGCTAATGTTGTATTTGACTGTGCGGTCAAACATTCTTTCGTTAAAAAAGGCATGCAAATCAAAATGGACCCTTTTGCTCCGTTTGTTCGTCAAACCGCTTAAACTGCAACAAGGACTATTGCAACGTGGCCACATGCATGTCTATAAATCCTCGTTGTCTCGCTGCTAATTTGGTATCTTGGCTCATTTCTATTTCAATTAGCTTATCATGAGAAAAGAAAAGCATTTTGGCGTCCATGTTAAAGTGCATTTCACATGGGCATGTCAATCAGGTGACGTCATAGAGTCCAAGATGGCGGCGTTCTCAAGATAACTAATTTTGTTCGCAATGCTGTTTGTTTTCCTAAACAAATTTTCAGTTAAGGGTTTGTTTTCCAAAATGTTCAGGGGCAATAAGGTCTCTTGGAATATAATTTCTTCAAACGATTGTTTTGTGAGCTGGTACCGGATTTCAAGACAACTATGCTTGCGAAGGCATTGCAGGTTTCGAAGTTTCCAAATTTAAAAATTGCCAAATTGCCAAATTGCCAAACAAGAACAAGGATTTGAATATCATTTTCTAATTGTTTTGTGTTTTCAAACCAATGTAATCACAAGCGTGTCTAAAGCATTTTAAGCATTTTGCACGCAAATGAAAGGTATATGCGAAGACAATGACACGGACACAATCTTACATATTATATCACCGAATATAAACCGATGAAGTTCATTTTCATTTTTCATAATGCGATTCTTCATCTACTTCCTAAGCAACTTTGCCATGTTTAGGAAACAATTAAACAAAATTATAATTTTTTGGGGTCGAAAATATAAAAAAAAAAACTGTATAGCATGTGAAATAAATATCTTGATATCTCGCATAGGAAGTTACAGGGGAGTACAAATAGAACACGGATGTTTTGCGTGAAATGCGTCAATTGCTATGTGCGGTTTGCGTTATTGATTATCCTATTCAGCAATTTGCACAGTCGGACACATTTCGCTGCTTTTAAATTTCAAATTAAACTCCAATGAGCTCACCTCGAGTTAAATGGAGTTAATGACCACATCATAGACAGCTGAATGACCCATGCAAATTTGCTACGTTTCTGTAAAATTAGTGGTTACAGAAAAGCGTATAAGATCACAAATGTGCTGCTAATAGTGCACTGGATGCTTGAAAGGCAGTGTATTTTGCTATTTTTTACCGTTTTAATTTCGACGTTTTAAACTGGCGTTGCGTAAATGAAAATGACAGGTTCCCCACGGCGAAGAATAGGCTTATAAACTCCTTAATCATTACGCTAGACTGTCAGACGTGAATTCTATTTATGATTATTCGCTGCGTATCTCAGATGTTTCTAATTTGTTATGAGCAAGTTAACTTTCCGCAACACACGAATGCTCCCAGGCTGTTTTTTCATTCTGGTTTTGAATATCGTTTTGGGACAGCACAAAAGCTTAGAATTCTTTGTAAGCTTATTTCTTCCCGTGGTCCGGGCTGACAAAAATCTCTTAGCTGCCGACCTTAATTGTCCCCCACTCATCCATTAAGAACAGCAATTTGCATAACTATTCTGCCTGCGGGAAAAAAACATACAAGAACATTTTGCTCAAGAGCTTTCACGTAAGCATCCTCCGTCATTGTTTGCTGAAGAAAACTTTATAAACTCCACCTGATGTAAAACCGGGACAAGCTTAAATGTAGCTGGAATTGAATCGTGCTTAAATGTAGCTGGAATTGAATTTCAAAGATTCTTGGCCCTCTTGGATGGCGACAAAGCTATGTTTAATAACCAGATTTTCATCGTTTGTTCAGGCTCAATCAGGTAAGGTAAGATTATAAATGTACCCGTATTTTGTCAAGGAGTCTGATACGTAATGCTTGTTTACCTTACTGGGAATGCAACTGCAAAAAAAAAAAAAAAAATGAATAGTCAACACTTGCAACTTAGGGTTGCACATTTCAAGAATGCTTCATTCGGCAATGAAATTTAATTTAATGGTTTTGAGGTTTTTGTATATTCTTTAAGAAAGTCTCGCTGTTTCATTGTAGTACTGAGTCTTTAATCAAGAACTTAGATAAGAAAGTACATAATATGCAAACTGAGATTTATCACAGCGAAAATTTTGGCCGTCAAGTCAGTGTTTTGACGCTCTTCAATTTTTGTCCGTAAAATTCGTGCATATCAATTATTATTTGTTTAGTGCATTTACTCTTCATCTATCTTCTTAGCTGAGTGTGAAATAGAAATTAAAACCAACGTCTGAAAGACATTTACGACAAAAAAATCGATGCTATCATTTAAAATTACATCACACTACTACGGTTTTTCAGATTTCCTGTTTATTAACAACTCTATGATAAAAATTCGTGTAGATCGATTGCTATTTGCTTAGTGTGTTTACTCTTCATTTACCTCTGTAGCTGAGTATGAAACAGAAATAAAAACCAGGGTCTGAAGGACATTTATGACAGAAAACCGTTGCTATCATTCAAAATCATATCACACTACTACGGTTTTTCAGATTTCCTATTTACAACTCTATGATAAAGATTTTTGTATATCAATTATTATTTGTTTAGTGCATTTACTCTTTCACCGCTTCGTAGCTGAGTGTGAAATAGAGATAAAAACCAGCCTACGAAAGAAATTTAGGACAGATAATTGATAACAATTTTATCATCTAAAATCACATAAAACCACTATGGGTTTTCATATTTCCTGTTTATTTACACCTCTATGATAAAAATAGTTAAACTTCCTTTTGTCCGATAATTTAATGCAAATTACTCGCTTCCTTCCTGACCATACATGAAATGCAGATTCCATGGTGTGGGCGCTCAATCAAGTAGATCGTACACAGCACGTCAAAGCTGCCCACGCACCCACATCAAGTGAGTTCAATACCAGTCAATTTTTAGTTGCGAACTTGTTTTTGATGAGTTCAAAAACGAGTTCACTGTCTGCATTGTTTATACGCGTTAATGTTTGTTTGGTGACTTCAAGTTGTTGTTATCTACAGTAGAATCCCGATTTTTCGAACCTCCAAGGGAAACGAAAATGGGCTCGAGAAATCGGAGAGTTCGAAAACTCGGGGTTGAAATTACACTGCTCGACTGAGGAGAGAGAAACGACTTGTGGTTCGAGTTATCGGGAGGTCGAAAAAATAAGGGTTCAGGAAATCGGGATACCACTGCACTCGTTTAGAGAACTTGACAACGAAAATAACCATGAAGTTGGTATTGAATTCTTGTGAAAAGGACGCATAGTCCTGCTAAGAAGAAGGCTTTTTTTTTCACTAACAAAATGCAGATAAAACGGAGTCGCCACAATGCTGAGTAGTTACTTAGATGTCTGTTAATTGCGGAGTAATTATGGAATGTCTACATTAGGTACACACCGGTCTATCAGACTGATGCAGTGCTAAATTATAATTTTACTTTGTTGTTTCGTGGAGGAGACAGATACCAAGATGTACAACGCACGTGCAATTTCATAATTTTTTTTTTCATTGTCTTGGCTAATCTCAGTTTATTCTACAAAACTACATTATTTAGGATAGAATAATTGGTAAAAAAAAAAAGAAAGAGGGCTTATTATTTCTAGCGGTTTTGGGTACACCAATATGTTTATAAGAGGACAACTCGTAAAATATCATTTAGGGCATTTCTTACTGAAATATACGTCTAACTTAATTTAACGCATAAAATAAAGAGCACTAACTTCTCTCCGAATGGACGTATAAGGAGACCTTTGACCCATTGAACGAGTAGGGCTTACTTTTCATTGTTTCCTTGAGAGGAAGGAAAATATCCTTTTTCTGCTGAGTTAAATGTACACGCACGAATGGGTGGTTCATAAGCAAGTTTTCCTAGTAATTCTACTTAATGAATTCAATAGTCGCATCGAGCTAAATTGTCCAAGAAGTTCTTAAATTTTCTAGTGACCAACTTTTGCAAAATTAATTGTTTAGTCTGTGAAGTTATCATGAACCTATTCATATCCTAACTTCAAGAGTAATAAAGGTTCAAAAATGAAACTTGGCGGGTGTACAGGATTGGCAAAAATGTCGCCGTTAAGATCATCAACATGAGATAATGACATGAAATGACATGACGTGGAAATCACGTCATAATTTTCAGGCAGCCGCCATATATGCGTCTAGCACTTTTTTTAAAAAAAATTCCTTGATGCCGGAAAGTCCGATAACTGACACAGAAGCAATCAAAACTAATTAAGAGTATTTTAAAGGATGAAAATGAAACATTCTAAGATAGGAAAATTCAAAAGCTGGAAAAACATGATGGTCATGGTAGCATTATGTTTCATCGGCAGTGTTATACCAAATCGTTTCTTGATAAAGTCACAAAGATTGATAACATATTGTATAAATACTAAAAAGGTTAATACAGCCTGTGAAGACAAAAATTCCGTCTTCCCCCGTCTCAACGGGAAGGCTAACACGCGGGTGAACATAATAAACGGTCTCTAGCTGTATGCTCCCAAACTAAATGATAGCGATGTATAGTAAATAAATGGAATGATATTTTCCTGCCACACAGGTACTTAACCCTTAGTCTTTTCAAATATCCAGATATTTTTTAGGATATTTAGAAGTTTCCGAGATATTTAGAAAATATTTAGGGATATTTAGAAATATTCATAGCTATTTTGGCTTAGCCTGCGTTTACCTCGCTATTTTCTTGAAACAACACTCAGTTCTCTGCCAGAAATAACCCAGTTCAGCGATTTTCCATGTATTGCAAATCACTAAAAGCGCTAAAGCAGCAATTTTCCAAAATAGTGAATGCTGGTAACATCAAAATATCTGAATTTTCTTTATCAACTCCTGCTACTGCAAGGGAAGTTTGAAAATTTTCGCCTAAGTGCGCGTGATTCAAAGTCGGTATATTTTTAAAACAAAGATAAGAGATATTTGGAGGGTTTTTCGAGATATTTGGAAAATTTTTGTGATATTTAGAAAAAAATTTGAGAATTTGCAGAAAGATATTAAAACGATTTTATAGGAAAATTAATTACCTGACAAGGGAATTCCACGTTAAATTTCACGCGAAAAACCGACATCGCACGAATCGCCAAGCGATGAGTGCGATATCGGTTTTTCATGATTAAAAGGTCATTGTTTCTAATTATTTTTAAGTTGTTGTTTTATTGTCGTTCCAGTACAATATCACGCAAATCCTCGCTTTCAAGAGTCGCAATTCTACGCTGAATACCTTGCCTAGGATAATTCTCTGAGCTATGCGATCCTACGTGATATTTGTGTGAAGGCGTGCTTAAACCACTCACTTTCTGACGTCAGTTGTTACGTACACCGGGCAGGGTTCCAACTTGGAAGAATGCGGACCAGTTTCATTTACGCCGTTAAGTTTGGTTTCTTTCATTCTTCCTTAATTAAAGAAAAGTAAGTGATAACAAGCGAGGCCATGGGTGATTCCGCCCATGAATCGTACGTGGGGTGTTATTTTAAACAAAAACTGAAATTGAAACGCGACAGAGAAATATGTAATTGCGCTCTCGTTAAAAACGCCGAACGCTACATTCCAACAGGTCATGCCACAAATTAATTTTAATCATTTCGTTCAAAATATATTTATTGTAAGTGGGCCATCAGTGGCATATGCTTATAAATAAAGGGCTAGTCACGACGAACAAATCGGAGTTCAGCCAATCATCGAAGCTGGATCTCCCAAGTTGTCTTTGTCCTGGTTGTATTATCTCTCGTACCTCACATGCGGACAACAGCAAGAAAACCCAACAGCAACATTCAAAAGAAGATCAATTTCATGTGAGGTTAGACAGATCTCATTTTAAATACACCCGTATAGTTGTGTGTTGAGGGATGGCGCATTTTAAACAACTGTTCTCCATGAATCAACCAATCTGTTGTTTTGAGATTGATGTAACGTCATTTTAGAAGGTAGATACTCGAAACAGAATTGTCTTTAATTGTCTAAACTTGTTTGTACCGTATTTGTCGTTTTGCAATTTATACAAACAGTATTTTGATATGCACAGGTGTCCGGTGTCACATTGAAATGTAGATTTGTTCGTTCTATTCACCGATAAGCCTTTCCGCAGTGAACTAATTAAAACGAGATGGGAACGAGCGTGAAGACAAAAAAAAAAATTGAATAACTAGTCTTATGTACGCCTTGTACTATTTTTTTATTTTGTTTCTTTACGGTAAGCGGGAAGGGGATTTCAATATCGTTAATTTAAAGTGAATTTAAATTTCCGTTCACTTTTCGTTCTGTTGACTGAGTTAATTTTGAATTGAAATTTTAGATCAAATTGTGTAAAGGTTATTCTGTGGTCTGGTCTTCGTGGTTTTTCGTACGTGACTTGAAGAAAATCATTCTAGCACAAACCTCCATATACCGTCCTATTTAAAACCAAGCGGTGAAAATACAGGTTTCATAAATGTGTAAGGTATATACGAGGATATATTTGCCTTTTCGCAGTACTTATCACCCAACATCATTTTCAGACTGGAAATCATTAGTTAATAATAATCGTAATCATTCATAAAAATTGAACAGTTTTATTTAATTGTTCTTGGCCGAAGGTTCGGATGATACTTTGAAGGTAAAATAACCAGAAATGGCAGTTTATCGTGATCGTTCGCTGACTTTGACCTAAAGCAACTGATGAAAATAACATGGAGCGAATACAGGACATATTTGATGTCAAATACCGGCAAAACATGCCTCGTTCTTACAAATTATTTCGACTTCACTGCCTAAAGAAGTTTCTTTATTTTCCACAACACTGAAGTAATTAAATGCTTTATCTTAAGAGTTTTGTAAACGGACAATTATGAACTCTTGTTTAAGTTGTAAATAATGATTGAAATTTCCATCAAAACTAAATTTGAAATTGAGTACGTGCTTAATATTCATATACGGATAAAAATTCACGAAACGAATAATAAAAAACCCAACAGGACCGGCAATTTCCGTGCCCCTTTTTTATATAATTGAGATCCGACGATTCCCGATATACTTCTTAAAATTGTCATGATTCCTCTTAAAAAATAAAATGGTGAAAGCAGATGTCCAAAAGATTTTCAGTGGTCTGGAAAACAGTTCTTTTAGTCTATAATTAATTCTACCTCAAATGACAGTAGCTCTCACTTCAGAACGTATTGCGATATATCTCTTCAGGAAGTTTTTGCAGCTTTAAAATTATTATGAACAACGACTTCGTCAGGGACCTCGCAAATTCAGGGGAGAGGTAAAACTGTGTTTGTTTAAGGCCAGTATTAAGATGACTCCCATCAAACTCTTTACGTTTTACGTTTTAAGGTTTAGTCCAATAAAAATGCTAAATAATTTTGGTGACCGTTACGTAGATATAAGTAGCCTCTGCGATTTAGAATTAGGCAAAAGGTTTATTTCATATTTATATACTGCTTGCATTGTAAGATAATACATCAAAGTTGTCGACAAGCTGGGGCCCAGTGGTGTAGTCTTAACGAACTAAATCCACGTAATACATAGAACATTGTTTTCTTTTTTTGGAAGGAAAGGAAAGATAAACGCCCTACGTTTGTTGTCGCGGTGAAAAAATAATTACCCGTCGAAGCTAATGACGCGCGGCAGGGGAAAAGCACAACAAAACTGGTATCAGATATGATCGTGTAATAGGGCTTGGGGTCTGCACCGGATGATATCAGCCCGAATAAGAAGGATACATTTCGCTAATTACTTATCCCAGGTGACGATTAAACATTGCATGAGGCTTTACAGGATTTTGAAGTTCAAGATAATTTTATTGTTGTTATCAGAGCCCTATTCCTTTATCACCGCCACGCACTGAAATGATATCCCCTCTAATATACATCTTCGGTTTAAAGAGCCCACTTTTCCTAACGACAAATAATTCTCGATTGTCTGTAAACATTTGCGTTCAGTTACATGCATGAAATCCTGTATCTTGACAACTTTCCAAAGTTTCTTTTAAATAAAGAGGGAAATTTGTTAGGATCGTAATTCTTAATTAGTGGAGTCATTTTCATAACCATCTAATTTGAAAAGTGATAGATATTTTAACAACGATTTGTAGAATATGCAAAGTTAATTGCGATAAAAGATATCTTGGTATCACTTGTTATTATTTTTTTACACTTATATTCCTCTAACTGGCCTCGGTACTCTGCCGAAACGCCGGAAATTCGGATATTACAGACAAACCTTACGCAACCAGCATTTCAGTATAAAAGCAACGGCTGAAATTTGACCCTTATAAACGAATACAAACCAAAATTTCGAAACCGGACCAATTGATTAAACAGCAGTTGCAGAGCATGTTTTTTTTCCGAGTCATGATTGGTCGTGTTGATGAAAATATTTAATGTATTTTTAAAAGGAAAAAGTTTATTGGAAAGAATTTTAATGTAAGTTGCAACCAATAGGACTGGTAATAGAATACTTTTTACAGTGCTTAATTCGCATCTACGATTTTCCTTTTTTTTAAGTTGAAAATTTATCACACACATTGAACATGCTTGTGACAAAAAATTGTGTTTGTTACATTTGATGTTCGTTATCAACACCTTGACTCCGAGATAAGGAATCTTTTATTTATTGCGCAGAATGTTCCTTAAAATATCCCAGTTGTACAACATATGAAGCGTTAATTTATAAAAATTCTTTAATTTCTTTATGAATGCAAAAATTGCTCCACGTCAAAAAAAGGTTGTGCTGGAAAAAGTGTGTACTCCTCTTGGCGATGTCCCGTTGTTCATAAGTTTATCTGAGTGAATTAACAACACATTTGTGCATGATAAGGACTAAAGAAATCGCCTTTTAAAAGCGGCAATGTTTTTAGTATCCGGACGTTCGATCAGTCCGTCAATTGGATTATTTGGACGATATATGTTTCTAACTTGCGTGCGAATTGTTTAGTTTAGTTCCCCATAATATCAATTTTCTTATTTGCGTATTCCGCCCTACTAACCTCAAAAAATGTAACTTTTCAAATGAAATTTCTCACTGTCAATCGCATTACTTGGAAGATATATGTTTCTAACTTGCGTTCAAATTGTTTAGTTTAGTTTCCCATAATAATTTTCTTATTCGCGTATTCCGCCAAACTGACCTCAGTCAATGTAACGTTTTGCAATTTCCCAAGAGGTAACAAGATCATTATATAAATCTCCAGTAATACCTCACCAAGGTAGCGGAAATATGGTTGATAATACTTAGCTGCCCTTAAAGATCACTCCAGGTTATCACACCATCAATTTTCATTAGCACATCTTTAAATTGATTCCTGTTTCTAAGTTGCTTCTCTTATAAAGATATGTCCTCAGGCAGAATTCACTCATAAATATAGCTTTAATCTTTAAAATTGATTTTGTATTAAATTATGGCGTATTCAGTATTTTCTTACACCAAATTTATTGTTTATAACCGTACTCGAAATAACATTTGTTGGGTGGCATAAAAATTGATTTATGTTACCCGTTCATAATTGATGATCAAGTCAACACAATTACAACAAAAAATCGAAATAACATTAAACAAAAATAACTGTTGGAGCTGTTGAGGAGTCGTTCCTTGCAGCACGAATTTCAAAATTAGCGATTGTGGCTTATATATTGAGATGGAACAGATAAGTGCATATTTCCCAACTGCCTGTGTATGGCTCACAATCGATCTAATCGCAGGCTTGTGTTCATTAATTGAAACGTAGAAGGAGGTTTACGTTGCGTTGTTTGTAGCAAAAAGACGTGCAAGATCAAACAAGCACGTCTTAATATTTATGCAAAACACAGTATGATTATGTTTCAAGGGGGCTGGCAGGCTTTTAAAATTTGCCAACACAAAGTGTCTTGCATTGAGCGTGGTATGAAAAGAAAAATAAGTTCGGATAGAAGGTATTGTACTAAAGGATTTAGTTCATCTTAAGGCCTTAATGCCGTATAACTGATTAATTGCTCTGCAACAATAGCTCGTTTCCGTGTTGGAGCGATAATGAATTGCGGCCACACTAAAGTGCTGCTTTAGACTCTCTGGAGCTGTTCTCAATTATCCTTGCTCTTCAATAAGAGGAAATGCAAATTCGTGATCACTACTTACCACAGACGTCAGTCGTAGATAGTTGACCCACACGAAAGTGGGCCCACTTAGCCAAAGGCTCAAGATCGTTTTGGAGGATAGGCCACAAGCAGTATTCAGAAATCACCTCTATAAGTTAAACTCAAACACTAAGTATCTCTTAAGACAGCTTTTGCTAGAAGACTCCTTAGAAGGCAACGGCTACAGATTCAACGCGTTCTTTTGCAATGGTAAGGCATTTTCGTAGACAAATTTGGACTCATATAACGAATCGGCCTCCTTTAATAGCACGTTTTTTTCACTGCTATCAGGCTCATGTATGTAGCATGGCGATATTTGTCATCTTGACCTTAAAACGAGTTTCATTATGTTTAATTCAATTTGCTCTTCAAACACCAATGGTAGCAATGACACGAGTAAGGACTCTCAAGAGACTTAACAGAGGCTTTTTGTTTATCTTTTATTTCTTTCAGATGAGATGAGCAACAGCCTCTGCAATGGATAATCAAACCGGTGACTTGAATGCTTCCATTAGCGCTGTGGACGACGACGACGCCAGTACAAAAAACTCTTTTTACTACATTCGACTGGTGTGCTATGTGCTGATATTCATAGTGGGAGTTATAGGAAACATCTTGGTTTGTTTGGTGGTTTGTCGCGAACGAAAGATGAAAAATGTCACCAATTATTTCATCTTCAATCTGGCGGTCAGTGACTTATCGGTCTTGTTGATTTGCATTCCGTTCGACTTTGGCGAGATTGTGACGGGGACCTTTCCTTATGGTGCTGTCATGTGCCGACTAATTTATCCCTTGCAAACCATGGCTGCGACCGCATCTGTTGGTACCTTGGTCGCTATAAGCCTTAATAGGTAAGTTCAATTCTACTTAAAAATGATTTTGTTTTCGTTCCACAGATTCATTTTACTGTTTCTATTACCACGAATATTATTGACAAAATTGGTTTTGACGTGGCTGAAGGGCAACTGATAACTTTTCAATAGCTGGGAGCCCGTGTTTTATGACACGATTGTTTTTTTTTTTAACGATTTTTCCGTTGAAATCGAGCTTTGAAATATTAGTATAGTCCACACTTTTTCTTTGAGATGAAACGGAAGCAACTGAAGAAGCATCACGTTCAATGTGACCTCAGCTAAATCACCAAGATATGCGATACTGTAACTTTCCATTTTACCTCGACTTGTATTTGCGTATAATGATACGATGATTGTAATCTTTCTTGCATACATGCAGCTTCCAACGTTGTATTGTAAATACTTCTCTTATCGATGCGATAAAACGTTTTTTTTCACGAAGTCAGAGGAACTCTTTTACCGCATTTAAAGTGGGTGCTTTCTATATACGTGAAATGAATAAAAATACGTTTGTCATGTTTGGCTCAGAACTGATGAAAACAGTTTTTTTTTTTCCGTTTGGTAAATGTACCTTGTTACCGGTCTCTTTTTTTAGGTAAAATAAAAGTCGCATAGACTCACTACGGTTTTCTGCTTGTACTTATCACTTTTTCAGACCTTTTTTGTTTTAAATAACTCAATAGTGACGCGAACTCCCAATACAAGTTCCCATATTCCATAAGCTGCCACTGACACTACTCAATATTGCATTGAAAGTTAATGAAGTGACAACGCAACTGGGCTTAGAAGTTGTTAAAGAGGTGGCACTTTTTTGTGAAATAAAAATAGATTTTAATCCTTCAGGATTATAATGAAGGAAAGGAAACGTTCATGTGGGTTTTGTTGTGACATTAATTGCGTAGCAACGGCTCATTAACGACTTGGAAAAACAATAGATAAATATATAATTAATGATCTCTGTATAGATAATAATGAAAAAACGAGTTTATAGCACTGTTAGAAATCGACGCTAGAGAACTGTTAATCTCGCCGAGTGATAACAAGTTCTTTATTTAACTATTTCACTCTTAGAGTAAAAACTCTTTTCCAAGTGCGTTTTTTATCTTTAAGTAAGCCCGACCATTCACATAAAACTCAGTGTTGTAAAGAATTTTTGTGTGCCATTACAAGTTGATTATCTTGTGCAAGGTTGTTCTTGATTTAAGCCTGTGGATGAAACCCTAGTGTATGACCATTCAAATGAAAGCTATTGAGCAATACTTTCGTTGTATTACACTGTATCACCAAAGCGCTTTGTGGATGAAACCCTTAAAGTTTGTGGCCCAGTTTAAACAAAACGAATTGGAATGATTTAGAGTTTTGAAGCTTTTTCCTTAAAATACGTTTACACGCCTGAAAAAGACGGTCCGCCCCGAGCGATTGTCACACAAAAAAACATGGCAGCATTTGAATGGCTTTTTTGCAATTGGTTGGCTTATCCCTACAGCGGAAAGTTCCACATTTATGTTCGAATTGCTACAAACAATGCAATTAAAATGTTTCTTCCTCCAAGCCGGATTTCCGTGTCTGATTAGAAACTTTCATAAAAACAATCGAGATTGATGATGTAGCCGATGCTCTGAAGCCGCAACCTTAATCAAAGTAAACATCACAAAAGATGTCGGCAGCTGACTGAAGGCCAAGCTAAAACCCACACCTTTTAGTTCAAAATTAGTGAAAATCGGAAACAACTTGATATAGATTATTTTATAGTCGAACTCTCAGCAACTGTTTGCGAATGTTTTTATTACTTCACCTCTTTTGGAGCAGTGATCCGCGTAAAACATTTGTATATGATTATATTGTATTATATATAATTTGCTGTATGAAAAGACTTATAGAACATAAACTTGAAGAAGATATTATAATTATTAAAAGGTCGCGGAGCGAATGAATTTATTGTTATTGATTGTATACAAGGAGAAGTTTTTAGAATTTGCAAAACAATATTCAGAGACTATTGGGCGACTGAATATGTTATCACTCCGATAAGTATTTCAGTTTTTCTTCAGAGTCTGGTGTTGAGATAAAATTTTCCATTTAAAACGATAGCAAACTTGTTAATCCCTGGGCTATGAGCCAGGTTCAAGGATATGTCATTTGCTTTATATTGGGTGGCAAAAAAAGCCTTCTTGCAATATAGTGTTCCTTGACTCGATGTAAGGTTGTACAACATAACAGTTTTCACTGAACAGAAAAGAAGATAAAACACTATATTTTATGACTTATTGCATGTTGATGTTATTATAAGGATATATGACAATCAATTCAGACCGCAATGACACATATGCATCTTGTCGCGCAGTGAGAAGTAAGTCTTATCTCGATTATCGGTCCCCGTGGAAATAATTTTCATATTTAAACCGAAATCGACTCGTCTTAAAACTAGCCGAAAACCTGCCTGAAAGTTGGGAAGATAGGAATCCTTTTTGAATCTAACAAGTCAGACTTCGACTGTATCGGGAAAAACCTGTTTTTTTTTTTTTGTTGTTTTTTCGCACGTTTCAGACGTTTTTGGAATATATATTTTTCATAAGCGAAACATCAAACCTTTTGGATATTTCTCCAGTAACCTTTCGCGTATCATTATAATAATAATAATAATAATAATTATAATATTAATTTAAAAAATTTTAGCGTCATTATGTATTTATTTATAATATTAATGCTACTAATAATGATAATAATAATAATAATAATAGTAATAATAAAAAAGCTTTGTTGCGGCAAAGGCCATAAATCTGGATAAACCAGGTAATTTCGATTCAGTGAAAAACAAAACAAGACGGCTTTTTGGGTCACTGATAGTTTCAATGTCATTCTGTAACGGCTTCAAGCCAAAAACTCTTGGGAGAAAATTTTGTAGTTATTAGCTCGAATAAAAATATCGGAGACTCCAGCCCTGAACTCTGCGGTTTCTGCTCTAAATAGGGCTCAACGGCAGTCCTTTTATGGAGCGGTAAGGGAGAGTTTAGGGACTTGCGCTTAAAGCTAGTGGAGCAATGTTTTCAGTAGCCAACTTGAGACTTAAAGGAGCTATTCACAGTTTGCGCATCTTGAAAAGTTTAGCCTAAATTTTTCAAGTTCGTCGTTTGTAATCCGCGTCAATCTTCTCCATCCTTAGCCATCCTTGTTCCTTTATGGCTTATTATTATCTTTTTGGTGTTTTTCTATCTTAGTAAACTATTATTTTCAGGTGTCCTTCAATGTTAAGGTAATTCTGTGCGTGGCCAAATGAACTCGAAATACCGCAATTGAGCTCCTTTAAATTCTCCTCATTGGCTGGCATACAGTTCTTTAACGATAGTTTGGAGAATTCGGTTTTACATCAAGATAAAATCCTCTTTCTGATGATTTTCTTTATTTTCATTACCTGTCTGTTAATAGTGTGTCATGATTGTACAGAGAAATGAGAATTTGATCATTATTAAGGAAATACAGATAACTTCGAAGTTTCTAAAAGGGTCGATGGTATTTCCGAGAGCTTGGCGTGCCGTAAAACTTTGCAGCTCTTATTATCAAGACATTTGTGTAATAATTTCTTGCATACCTGCTATATTCAAGACATTTCCACCATTCATCAATATTATTGATCACATTTAACGTGGCTGGCAACAGATTCCAACATTTTCACTGGCGCACTAAACTTTGCACTGTTAACGAATATTTGCTGTGTCATCTACACGATCAAAAACGTTAAAAATAAAAATTGTCTCAAAAAAATTGCTCGTGTTGACCACGCTTGACTCTATATCAATTTGCCTTGGTTTCCCCCGCAGGTTCATAGCGGTGGTGTATCCGCTCCGTCCCCAGCTACAGACTCGTGACGCCAAAAAAGTTATTGGAGTAATCTGGGTGTTTGCCCTGGCCTTGGTCTCGCCATACATCGCTGTTTTGGAGCTTCGCGACAATTCCTGCCAAGAATATTTTCAAGAGAAAGGACTTAAAGCTGGCGCTTACACAATTTCGATTTTCCTTCTGCAGTATGTAGTGCCGTTATCAATAATTGGACTCTCGTACATAAGGTAGGAGTTCTAGCTCAAGATTTCCATTTAAACAATAATGTTGCTGTCAAGGAACTATTGGCTGATAGTTGTCCACGGAAATTTGAAGTTCTTAAAACATATATATATTTTTAATTAAATAAGCTTTAAGAACATCGAATCAGTTTCTATCTATCAGACCGATAGTTCCGGGTCATAAACATTTTATTGTCTTGATTGTTCACCACTAAATTTTCTTAAAATTCCGCTCTCCAGTTCAAAACTCATATTGAATTATTTTTAACTTTATTAGATGGAAGGCATGAAAGACAAATGTGAGAAAAAGGAAAACAGGCAAATTGCGTCTTTCAATTCCTTTTTCCACAGGTCCGCTTGTTTACAGAAAAATTTTTATGGACAAGTGTTATCCATCCGGGTATTTTCCTCGGACGGGCACTATGGGCAGATAGTGTCTCTCCGCCGATTAACACTATCGCGTCACGTGATCAATTTAATCCAATAAGAATCGGAGAAAATTTAGTGGTGAACTAGAAGAGGTGATAGTTGATACTGCACTGAGAGGGATTTAGGGTGATCTATAGAAGAGATCGACCTCTTCCAGGCCAATCTTAATTCGTTCAAATTCTTGTTTCTGTTAATACGAGGCTGGCGCGAAACATCACGGCACAAGCCTGAGAGCTTTGGTTGCGACTTATTCCCTACGAAGCTATCGTAATCTCATTTCAGACTTCCATAGGAAGTTAATTTCCTCATGAATGTTCAGAATTACTCCAGACCTATACGGGATCTTTTATTTGTTTCGGCTAAGCTGACTGATAAATTGACACCTGATTACATTACTTGCCCAAATATTCAGACTTTTTATTTTCGGACAGGTACACCGACGAGAAAAAATAACACAAATTCTTACATATCTATCTCAACAAGTGTTTCAACAAGTTAAGAGTTCTCTACATAAAGGAAACTAAGAACTTTGGAGCTACATAAAAGTCAGACTGTACTATAAATTCGGATGCTTAAAACTTTCAGACGGTTTTATTTTCGGACACTTTTCTCGTCCGAAATTAATATCGTCCGAAATTTTTCGCAAGTAATGTTGTTCTTCTCTCTATAGATCATCTCAAATGATTAGTTAATGATTCTTCCGCTCCATTTGCACGGTCACGACAGCTCAGTCACGTGCTGCTATTGACCACTTTTCCCTTCCACAGAATTGGCCGAGATCTCCGGCGGGACAAAGGCTCGTATTCAAACGATGCTCTTCAGCGAGATCAGGAGAAAGAAGCACACAAAGTCATGAAGATTCTAACCGTTGTTGTCATTGTGTTTGCTCTTCTCATGCTTCCTAATCACATTGTATTTCTGTGGTTTGATTTTGGCAATGGAAGTAAGTGATAGAAGTCAAAAAATTACGTCTTAATTCTCTTTTAGCTAGGAATCGCAAACTCTGAGACGATAAAACAATTTCCCCGTCTTTCTGCTCGCGTCATTCCCCTACCCCTACCCCCTAACTGCTAATCATGTTGCGCCTGACTAGTATGGCAACAGAGGGCGAGAGCATGACCTCAGGCGCCCTCAGCTAGACCGGTTACTTTTCCAAGCTGATAAATTAGGCTAAACTTACAACTGTTAGGCTGAACTTTTCAAGATGCGCACACCATTACGTATCATGTTTAGTACACAACAAATCCGGTCAGTGCTCGAACCTAAGCCATCGCGAATATTAACTGACCAATTATTTTTCTTGATAGATAAGAACCCGCATGCGCAGAGCATCTTGGCTCTGTGTCAGATTTGTGTTTATGCAAACAGCGCCTCCAATCCGCTTATTTACAATGCTGTTAACGAACATTTCCGAGAGGGATTTAAGAACTACTTCCGTTCATGGATAGAATGCGTCCTAAAAATCAAAGGCAGCAAAAGACGGGATCATATTCAGATAGCTGTCGACAGGCGGAACGGGACCAAACCCATCGGCAGCTGTACTATGTGCAGAACAGGCAGTGAAACCTCCTTAAACGGGACAATTTGCCCTCAAAGAGACTCTCAAGTCATTAACAACGACCGGGATGATATCACGCAAGATGCAGATCTTGATACCAAGGTGACATCACGACACGACAGACCGGACGAATGTGAAGAGTTTTTAACAACGGGAATGTAACTATTTTGTGAAAGGAAATACTGAATCACGGCTAGGCGGAGGCACCCCAACTGGAAAATAGCTGCAGGTCGTATGGAAGGTGCCTAGATTCAGGACGACTAACGTGGGGAGTAGAATTTCCATTACTGTGGTACCGTGGACAGTTTTGGTCAATTTGGAGTTAAACGATGGTTAACTTGCTCTCTTCAATCAAAACAGCTGCGATTTTGAGCATTTTTAAAGCTCGTTAGAGAAAGGGTTTAATTTACGTACCAATTCTTTTGAGAAATTGGTCGAAACGAAATGTTTTTTACCATTACCCTTTTAATTATTAGAGGAAAACCTACCTAAATAAGGTTTTAATGGCCTTTTATGTCCTCCGAGCTAATTGCCCGCCAACCCCACCCCCACCAACCCCACCAACGGCTTCAATCAGTCAAATTGCTTGTTTGCCAATGGTCAGTGGCTGAGTCATGGGAACAGTTGTTAAGGGAGTGTTCTTTCAAAATAAATTATTTATCATTCAAACTGAAACTATAACCTAAAATGAACACAGTTATCCTGTTCATATTTACATAACCGGTGAGAAAATCAGTTTAATTGAAATTTACGGTTACGGTAATAGTAAGATAATTTATAACTATACACCTATAAAATCAAGCCAGGTACAGATTGTAAACTTAAAAGACTATTCACACAAATAAACAAAAAATTGTCGCTTCATTTGTAATGTTTACTTGTTGGTTTTGCACCCTTTCTTTCCTTTTCACTGTTTGACAGACAAGCAAACGCGAGGGGAAAGTGCCGGTGAATTTATGGGGAACGCACCAGGAAATCCATGGTGGAACACAGCGAAAGCGCGGTGTAAAAGTTCACCCTTCTTAACGAATCGAATGTGCGCCTCGTGAGTCCAGAACATTTTGTCCACTGTGATGACGTGTATCGTTGTCGGTAGGAGTACAGACCACGCTAAACCACATTTCGATTTGTTTTTTGCCACAATACCAACGTCAAAGAAAATGACGAGCTGAAAGCGCGAGCTGGAAAAGGCATTGCGTGACACCTTGACGTGAGCAGCGTTGTCTGGACTCTTATCGACAACGGCAAATTAGCCAATCAGATTGCGAAATTGCGAGATTGCGAGATTAGTAGCAATTGTGGTAAAAATGAAATTCGCTCGCCAATTAAATAATTCTGTGATTATATTGGGCGGATATTTTAGTCCTCACGGGGTGGTAGGCAAGGCTAATTATGTACAAACAAAAATAGCCTATCTCCGCTGGGTGGTTTTTTTTTTAACTTGGTACCTAGTATGTAATCTCATGCCTTAAGGTAATTCCTCAAAAATATATAGTTGCCGAACGATAATTTTGAAACTTTCCCTGAATGTTCCCTACTAAGCACTTTTTCGAAAAATGTAATAGGAGGATAGGAATAGGAAAGATAGCTCCCTATGCTCGCAAAAGAGACATCAGTAAGCCAAACGATCACAACATTTCAACACGACATATCGCAACATTGGTGGGCGCAACATGTTGCGCGCGTTTGGCCACCCTGTTGCGACATGTTTCGACATGTTGGGTGTTTTTGGCTCAAATTGCATGGTCAAATTTTTCCTGCAACATTTGTGGATGTTGCATGATGTTGTAGTCTGTGTAGTCGTTTGGCCAGCGAGGTTCGTGCAACAATGTTGTGCCAGGGCATGCGCTCTAGTTCGATTTTCAACACCCAACATGTCGCAACATGTCGAGCCCAACAATGTTGCGATATGTTGCGTTCAAATGTTGCGATCGTTTGCCGGACCTTGCAAATGCTGGGCCAACAACGTTGGCATATGTTGTGTTGTTATGCTGCGATCGTTTGGCGGAGGCTTTATCCATACCCATTTATTTGCGTTACTTCATCGGTTCGCTAAAAAGTTACAAAGTTTCAGTTTTTAAAGAAATCCTTAAAAAAAACTTGATATGTAGAAAGTCTTGAGCATATGGAACAATGTAGTATATAATTTATGGAACAATCACACAATTTTAAACGACATCGACTCAGAACGTTCCTCAAGTTAAAGTTGTTTTCAAGGCATAATTTTCATCTTCGAGTAAACGGCCGGTGTGCACGCTTTTAGCTGGTCTTTTTTCCTTCTAAACAATTTTTGTACACCAAAATTAAGTCAGGGGATAAAAAAAATAATATAGGTGACCATTCTTGTTTAGGAGAAAACGAGCTTTTCTTTCGCTGTCTAGCTTAGCTTGAAGAACATCTCTTGAAGCGCCGGCCAAGCGATGGCAACATGTCAGCGCAACATATCGCAACATTGTTGGGCGCAACATGTTGCGTGCGTTTGGCCAGCGAGTTGCGATGTGTTGCGACATGTTGGGTGTTGTTGGCTCAAGTTTGAAAATGGTCAAATTTGAGCTAACAACACCCAGCATGTCGCAACATGTCGCAACACGGTGGCCAAAACCACGCAACATGTTACGCCCAACAATGTTGCGATATGTTGCGTTGAAATGTTGCGGTCGTTTGGCCGGGCCTTGATGCTGTCAGTATGTGCAGTAGGGATGCGCAATACAATTCTGAGGAATCAACTTAATGGCGGCAATTTCAAAGTATAGTACTTGATTTTGCGGCTAATTCCAAGCTATGCAGGTATGTGCAATTTTATTTTACAGCCACGTTTTGACTTGGAGAGTGGCGGCAGGGGAAGCCGTTTGTGCTAAAATTCGAGCAATTTCTGTAACCACTATGCTGTAACGAGTCGAACGCCTTGCCCCCACCTTGCTAATTATGCAACGCTTTCGAGTGGAATACCATGCAATATCCCACGAGTCACTTGTATTTTCTGGGTATACACAAGAGCCTTACGTAAAGGCGAGTGTGTACAAGATAATACAAGTGACACGTGGGATTTTGCACGGTATATCCAGAGAGATCGTTACATAACTATTTTAAACCATGCCATGGATAATACAGAGGCCAACACAGTCACTACGGCTGCTAAAACGAGTTGCAACCTTTTCTCCGTTCATTATTTAACCCAACTCGTATGCTTAGTCTCACGCTCCGTCGCTGTGGCTGCATGCTATCTCAAGTGGCATGTGAGGAGTCGTGCTCCGCCATTTTGAATTTTTCAACCCACCGTTGAACACTTGAATCGCCTTATCAAAGCACAGGCAAACCAATACTGACAATGCCCCACAATGTGTAAAACTTAGAAATCTTTAGAAAACTATACCGTATGTGACGGTTTTGAACAAAAAAGCGAGAAAGTGCTTCATAAGTGCATCATATGCCAGTTTGGTCTGTTATAATTTTGCAGTATTGCCTTAGAACACGAGAAGTTGCCCCAAATTGGAAAAGTTGATCGAAATCGCAAAAGTTGCCCAAACGTTTCGGAACATCATAGGGACAGCCCTATCTGTATGTCGCAATTTTTTGACATTATAATTTATCGTAATTTATCGGCGGAAATTCTCACTTCTAAATTCCATACAAACTTCTACATTTTCCAAAATGGCATTTATATCCAAATCATTATGCTTGGGCATTTCTGAACAGCTACACTGGAAGGCATGGGATTTTGAAGGAACGCTCACCCAGAGAGCCTTTGGTACAAATTGGAGAAATATCGGTATAAAATCCCTAAGTTTCTATCACAAGTTACAGTCAGTAAATAACAAAAAATTAAGTCTGCAAGAAAGGTCCTGTAGATACAAACAAAAGCAGTGAAAAAATACGCTTGCTCAATTTCCGTTGGTTGTACCTTGCAGGCCTGGGTACTAAGCCGAATGCTTAGTAAAACAAACCAATTTTGTCTATGGACCTACAGCTAACACAAGTGTTTCCCACAGTCATGAAAATTGTGAACAAATGAGGCTCAGAGAAGTCGGCAAGGCTATTTCTCCAGTCATGAACCATTTATTTTATTCCATTTTATCCCTTATTCTATTTTGCCAGATGCACAAACATGCTCATAAAAACGTTTTTGAATGCACCGCACAAACATGCACATCCAATGTTCCTGAATGCGTCACACTCAGTAACGGCGTGGATCATCCAATCCAAGAGGGTCGATATCCAGATCATCCAGATTCTCGTCAAGTTCAGAAACTGGTTTGTCCAGTTTAATACCAAGCTCAGCTGCTTGACGCAATTTGTCTTCCTCCAGCATAGCTTTTGTCTGGTCATCGTATTTGGGACCCAGTGTCCACAGTTTCTCTAGTTCATATACCTCTCGTACTTCAGGTAGAAAGAAGTGCACAACAATATTTCCTGCAAGAGAATGACTATTGTCAATTTTCCAAAATTGCACTAGAGAAGAAGTCAATCTCACACAGCTGAAATGATATGATTATCAAAAATTTAAGACCTTTAAACTCTGAAATCAGAAGTCTGTGTTGAAGACCTGGCAATTACTTGTCTTGCATTCATATGAAAGACACTTGTACTCTCACATACAGCACTGTGACAATCTAGGAGAGGGGACCAGGAGGTAAAGGTCTCTTTCCTGTGAACGATAATTTTTAGCGCCCTTTCCTTTTCTGTGTAAATTTAACTCCTAAATGATCATCCCCCCTCCTCAGCCTCAAAAAAAAAAACAAACAAACAAACAAAAACAGAAGAACCCACCTTACCATAGAGTCTAGATCAGTCACTCATCAGGCTAGAATATTGACTGACAGTGAATATTACTGGTGATGTGTTGGAGGTATCACAGATGGGCCAAGTCAGCATTCAAGTCTATTGGCCCATCAGGCCCTCAATTAGTGTCCAGTTTTATAGTATTATTCAACTATCTAGACAGGTGTATTTTCCCCCATGGATGGGAAGTTAGTCATTCACAGGGTTACCCTCTCCCAGCCCCTGAATTTAATTTGGGTCTACCCATTTATAAACCTGAAAGAAAACTAAGTCTTGTGAGAAAACCAAATCATGATATTTAGGGTTTCATCAATTAAAACACAGTACCGGTAAGTCTTTAAGCTTCAAGCTATTGACTTTTCAAAGTCATAGTCACTGTAGTGTCCTTTTAGCACAGGCCTGTGGAGCAACCAACCTCCAGAGAAGCTCTTTTATGTACAACTAAATTTTTTGGCTGCAAAGTATTACCCTATTTCCCCATTGATAACAAGAACTTCTATTACACCTCCACCCCTCTCTCCCTTTGTCTATCAAACACATTTTGAAACACTGACAAAAAAGTATTCATCATTTTAATAAATACAACTTTTCTTTACCCGGGTCAGTGAAACTGCAGGAAGAAGCTTTTTTACCTATATCCAAAGCTACCCAGTGGTCACTCTCCAGTCCTTCTGCAATAACATGGCCATCTTTTCCAATGCCCTGTAACACTCGACCTCTGAACTGCAAGGGACATATACATATGTGAAAAACTTGTTATTAGATTGGAGTGGTGACTAATTTGCCAATGACACAACCCATTTAACAAAAGAGGCAAATGGCTCATATTTAAGTGTGCTTTCTGTTATAGTGCCATCTCCATAACATGACATCTCCCATTGCCCAATTAACCCAGTCTTATGAAAAGTTAAATATATTAATTTTGTCCAACCTCAACATCTTGGAAGTCTCTACATTGAGGTCTCATTCTCAATGTGTTCCATTTGTTTTGGAGACCAAATTATTTAAGTCTCACTCTTGGATTTTTAAGTAAGCATCTCTGTGAGTCTTGGATTTTACAGCAGGTCTAAAATAGGCATGAGGGGTAAGAGATGGAGGGGGGTGGGGGAGGACTAATCATAAATGTATTAACCTGGGCATTGGAGCTGTGCTCTTTAGGTTCATCCTTTACCTCTCACCCCTCACCCCCAATTTTAGATTTGGCCAGATTTTACTATTCATCACCCATTCCACGCAACATGGCAGTCACAGTCAGAAAGATGTAATATTATGTGTAGTTCCAGAAAATATCCATACCTCTCGCACGGAAGGAATTTTGGATCCCCCAGCCCTTTGGAAATACCAATTAAACTTCATATGTTTCTTTAAAAATTTTTGGTCTTAGGAATCCCCCACCCCCTCCCCCAGGAAATTCCAATCCCTTTGGTGGGGGGGGAGTATCAATATTTTCTGGATCAGCATAATCAAGGCTCACTTGGAATGTTTACAAAATCTTTGAAATTATCAATATTCCCTTTATCTGTTATTATTTCATTTTTCAATCGACCAACCGACTCAAATCTACCTACCAATTGCTCCAAATTCTTCGCCATTGCCCTTATATGTCTTGTTGATACACCACTTACAACAACAAAATAATCAACATAATTTTGCCTGATTCCTCCAGTTTTGATCACGCATATATCTATGGCGTTCTCTTTTTTAAGGAAGTCTACAAGATCTTGTATATTCATGAAACCGTTTTCATCTAATGTGTAATCTGCTAGAGCTGAAGGAAGCTTCGAACGCGGCCGTGGGTTTGAAATCTCGGCATCTTCCTCGTCAGAAATCGCTGAATCGAAATGACAAGTGTTCGTTGATTCGTCCTTAACAGCATCCTCTGGTTTTCTAGTTGATGCACGACTTTCTTTAAGATAACAACTTGAAGTATTAATGCCTCTACAAGAAAGTGGTAATAAGGATCTCTTTCCTTTCTGAAAGGTCTTGATAGCATAGCGCTCAAGACAATGTATGTCCCCGAAATTCTTGCAAAGCTGTGATGACCAAACCCGACCGAAAAGCCATGAGAATGTTTCAGCTTGACGAAAAGGTGTAAAACTTCGGGATAACATCACTAGATCGACTAGAACAACTTCAACAAACAGAATAAACTATCTCTATGCTCCACCATCTTGGAAACCTCGCTTCAATGTAGCAAATTTTGTACGAAGCGGTAGTCTCCTTCGGCCGTCACGCAACGCTTCCTCACTGAGACAAGCGTTGCGTGACGACCCTGATAACGCCTGCGAAGGAAACTAGTAGACTGAGCTAGACTGCAGACATGCCACGGGATCTGGCGCTAACAGGAGAATATTAAGGCAAAAAACATTTTGCTTTATTCCTCCTTTTCCAGCTATTTTCACCCATCCATCTGGTGAAGTCGAAGAGAGAGCAGAAAGGTACTCCTAAGATGGCGGGTATCTATCAGGGATCTAGTAGGGGAACACTTGGTAACATTGTAAAATATTTAACAACAGGGAAAATCACCAAGGAACCACTAAGAGAGGTGCTGAAACAGTGAGAAACAAATGCAGGTGCTGGAGGTTTACACCCCCATGTCCCAACCCCAAGTGAGAGTTCAGTTCAAGATTTTCAGGATTTTCAGGTCCAGAGTGGCGGGTCTAAAATGCAGGTCACGGGTCACGGGTTATTATTGTTTTTACCAATACTGAAACAACCTTAAATCTTTACTAATGGTAACCTTAAGCCTAAACATTGTCTTAGTGTAGTATCTGGGCCTAAGGTTAGCATTAGGTAGGGGTTAGGGTTGTTCCAGTATTGGTACAATGACCCCTTGACATGTGTTTAAGACCCGCCGGGCCCAGAAGCAATGTCCCACACTATAGGGCTCAACTATCCAGATGGCAACTAGGCACAGCATGTCCCACAAACTAAGCAATTAAAATAAGAAACGTCAGCCAAACAAAGTTCAGAAAAAATAGGAAATAAATAGTTTAATAATAATAATAATAATAATAATAATAATAATAATAATTGTCATAATTAATTAACATTTTTATACAATACATTTTTACAAGCTTTACATTTCACATATAAATTGCAAGTCTGCCATCTTTTTATGCAAATAATTTGGTGGCTAATTTTTCCGATAAGCATAGCAAAACAAGTAATTAGGTGTTAATACAAACACCTTTATACTAGCCCTTCTCATTAGCAAGCTAAATGTTATTTTCTGGAACGATCACAGTCTGAGTTATATAATAACTTTGAACTGTTTCCTTTGTACATAACAAAAAAGGCCTTAATGTTTAACTGCCCAATCTCCTTCCCTGTTGATATATTCACAATACAGTTGAACCTCCAGTAAGCAGACATGACTGGGACCAGAAGAAGTGTTTGCTTTAGAGAGTTGTCCGCCTATTGACAGTAAAAAATACACTGTTTGTACATGGCTGGAACCAAAGGCTGTCTGTCTCCTGGAGGTGTCCGTTAGTGAAGGTTCAACAGTACTGTAATCAGTCAGATTCCGAGAGCCATATCGAGTTGACCAATACTAAAGTAGCTGGATCAAGCATAATTAAAAGTTGTTATAGATATTTCCAATAATGCTCTCTAACAATTACTGCATTGCACTGATCGGGCTGGCCAGTCCTGCATCAGATCTTACTCAGTGGAAAAATACTAAGATCATAAAGGAAGGGGATACACTGAGCACAAGACAGGTGAAAAGGTATTTAACCAAGACAGTTGAAAACCACTGTCATATTTAAAAGAGAATTTACAAAAAATATACATAATTAGATTTATTATTAGCAAAAAAAAAAAAAGTAACATAATTTATTTTAGTACACTTGGCATGAAGTTTGCAAGACTTAGATGCAGACATTTATAGACAAGAGTGGGACGTTTTGGTACCAAAATGATGCAAATTTTCCCTAACATTCATGAGCAGTAGCATTTATTTTTTAATAATGATCTTTACTAGCTATATAATATATAGACTGTGTGCATGTACAGCAACCCGGGGCCCTTTTCTTGCTGTAGAGACCTGGCAGCAAACATTTATTAATGAGGCAATAGGCATACCCATTATTCCTCCCCTTTCTTTTTTTGTTTCTTGCTCAGCAAACTAAAGGGAAATGACGGACTGTTCATTAGAAACTACACATACCAGAATTCTATCTTGTTTTGTTCTCTCAAGCAAACCATGGTACCACAATATCTAATAAGTGGTACTTACAGTGTGCACATATTTTAATGTTGGATCTCAACAAAATAGCAGGGACTCAATGATCAGAATTATGGAGCTTATCGAAATAACAAATATGCTCATTGTAGCGTGTATTTGACAGGGGTGCCTGATGTCAAATCATTACAGTACCACATGAAAGTTGAAAATAATCTAGTACATTTATTAATGTACATACAGGATTGCTTTTATCACCATCCTGAAAATATGTCCTTAAAATAATTATTGTGTATAAATAAGTGAGCTGTATCTTTATTTATTTAAGTCGCAAATCTCTTAGTCCACTCCTTAGCAATCTTGTCATGTTCCTGTCTGTCGTTGATGTACTGGTTTGCTATGCTGCCAACAAGAGGATCAACTGAAATAAAACATGACAGGACATCTTAACGTTTTTTTACTTTTTTGGGAGGGGAGGCTAGGAAAAAAAAAGGGGGGGGGGAGAACCTGGCCAGTTGGTCAAAACTCTGGTGAAAGAAGGGAAAGCACTCAACATTGGATAATTGAATCACTAAAAAGATGCATTTGACCTCCTCCCTTTGCCACTCCCTCTCCAAAAAAAAAAAAATTGATGAATCAAACACCATAAAAGAGGAAAGAGGAGTGGGCAAGGGGGCTGGAACCCTAGAGAAAAGGGTGTGGTACTCCGACAGTCAATTGGAGTTGAAAAAAAAGTTTGTGAAACAGGATTCTCAAAGTAGCCGAAAGCACATAGAGGTGCCAGTGGTACCAGCAGAAGGAATGCAAAGTGCCCTCTCCCTTGACCAAAAAAATCCCTCAGTCTGCACTTTCTTATCACTTCTACTTAAGTAACTGCTTGATTGCCCCTGATTTAAGTCATGATGAGTCTGTTCAAATATGAGAAATTACCTGGATTGCAGTCGGTAAGAAGGGAACAAACCGAGAGAAGAACTTTGGAGATGGTTAGAGCTGGGCTCCAGTTATCTTTTAAAATGTCCAGACAGATCACACCCTGTAAGAAAAACAATAACAGATCTTATTAGTTCTAAGTTTTCATATCATTAATCTATTTTAAGTATCTAAAGGTAGATAGCTAAATGATATTTTGTTTCACATTAGTATTGCAATAATTCAGCAATGTGTACGGAAAAGAAAAATTATAGTCTCTCTCTCTTTGCGAACTTTATTTGCACTAAAGGAGTGCAATGTTTGCCGAGAGATATCAATAATATTAATCATTGTATATAAATTACATAGAGAACCAAAATCAAACTTGGCGCTCGTAAAGGTAGGTAGATAAAGTCTGCATATGAGCAAAGTGGCCAAACAGGCTGACGCTTATCCCGGTTTCTGTAGCATGAAGCAACTAGAAATATTTTTACTCCCCCCTGGATGGGATGTCACTCCATCTCAGCGTTACCCCCAGCATTACATTCACTGGTACCCATTTGTACACCTGGGTGGAGAGAGGCACTGTGAGAGTAAAGTGTCATGCCCAAGAACACAACACAATGCCCCAGTGGCCAGGGCTCAAACCCGGACTTTTCGATCCAGAGACAGAAGCTCACTAACCATGAGGCCACTGTGCCTCTAACCCTCACAAAGCCCACAAAAAACCTGAAGAAAGAAGCTGCATGGGTGGCATAGTGAGAGGTAGCTAAGAAATCTTAGGTCAAGCAATACTTTTGTCTGGATCCAGAATTCTCGCAATAAATTGGTGTATGAGGGTTAATTTCTTTCTCTCTCACACTCTAAAATCATCAAGTCTCTGAGTCTTGGAATTTCAACTAATTAGGGTCTCAATGTCAAGGAAAGAGGATTTTAACGATTTTTTTTTCATTTTACTGCTCGGAGACAAGAATTATATTTAAGTAACAAAGTCAACGACTGCACCTGACCCAGAACAAATGAACAAAGTCATATGAGAAGATGAAGGCAGAATTTAAGCTATACTAATTTGTGGAAAGAAACCGCTATAATATAACAAGTGTCCCCAACCTTGCCTGAGAAGAATTAAAAAACAATCACAATTAAGATTACTTCACATCACCTGGCTGTTTATGTTGCAATGGTAAATCCTGGTTCGAAAAGTCACCTAGAGACAGAAATGAAAAAAGAAACTCAATGACCAACAAAACTGTTTGATTCTGAATAGCAAAGTTTGTTGTACATGCAGAACTGTACTGAATGTTTTGGAACAGAACATTAACTTTATAGATTTTCACACAAAAGCCAGAAAACCTTATATAAATTACTGCAGTAACTGTTGAAACTCCCATGAGCAGACATCCTTGGGGCCTGATTTTGTGCCAGGTTAGGAGATTAGTGCCTGCTTTATGGGATTGAACAAAACATTTGATGAATGTTTGAGGCTTAGATGATAAATGTACAACAAAGTGTGTACTGACAGGATACATAACCTACATGTACTGAGCTGTATGGTAGCTGCACGACAGACTGAGCTCTGTTAAGAAGAGATGTCACGACTTGCTAAATAAAACACAATTTTTTTTTTGTACCAATTTGGCTTAGTTGTGCACAACATAGTAAATGGTTTGAACCAAGGAGTATCAGCACACTTTTTCTGGTGTGATCGTCTTGGTGAGAGAAGTTCATTAATTACCTTTGGTGGTTTAAAAGGATAATCAGATGAGAATTGAATATCGAGGAAGAAGACTCCTCCTTCATACACAGATCCCTGAGGACCAAGAATTGTTGAGTGCCACTCATAAAGATTGTCACCTTTGGGTCCTGCACTAAAATTAAGGGCAAACAAAATAGTCAGCAACATTCACTGCATTTTGGTAAACTTAGCTTGTACATATTAATTTTAACTTTGATTTCAAGCAAGACTTGAAGCAGATATTTTTGCACCCAAGCTTAAAACTTGAAATTAAGGACTAAAACTTAATAAACAGTCCTTATATGTATTCAGCATTGAATTTGGACTGTACTTACCAGGTTAATAAATAAATAAACACATAATTTGTTCCTAAATCATACAATTGTCTGGACTCCAAACTTTCACATGCAATATAGATAACTAGTAAAATATGTCTAAAAAATATGATTCAAACAATTCAGTTGAATCAAAAGCACTATTTAAAGAAAGGCCAATATAAAAATGAAGAACCTTTTCTCATTGAAACTCCTGCACAGAAGTTTTTTAATTTAATTTTTTTTATTTTTTAAATTGACGCTTAAAACTTCTGATCATGTCTTGACTAATTAATTGTAGATATTTTATTATTTTCTTACAAGGATTTGTTTGTAAATATGCCGTCAATTAATACAATTAACCCGTGTGACTTACTTTTGAGTGAGTTTAGTATTCTGTCAAGATCTTATTTCAACTCACGCATAATTAAAATTCTATTGACATCACAAATATCCCACGTGGTTTTATAAAAGCTCATTAGATAGACACGTTTTTCGCAATATGATTTAACTTCAATATCCTGATAAATACATTAAAAAGGTGAAGACTAATCCGAATTCCTACGGTTGAAGATTCTACTAAGCTGATCAATTATGTGTCGTCAAACAAACCATGTGTAAACAGCGAATTCCCTTGTGCAAAATTTTGATTGTTCGGGCTGAGAAACCGGACAATTGCCACCGTAATCATTTCGATGTACAATTCTCACCAGGTCTTTCTTACCTACAGTTAGGGGGTGGATCGAGAGCTATTTCGGCCAGTTCCCGCTGAATCCTGTGAAAAAAACATACACTACTTCAATTTGTAAGTATCTATGCGTGCTGGCAGACAAAAGGAGAATTGTCGAGTGTTTGTAATATATTTAACGGGACCACGGTGGTCCTTAAAGATCTAGCAACAGGAAATCGGAATTACATCGCACATCCGCCGCCTAGATGACGATGTAAGGAGCTGAAGATGTACTTCAGTCAATCCTTAATAACATTTGTTTTCGTGGCGCACGTAAAACAAGACAATTCCGACAACCATGAGTTCAAAGATAAACCTTACGACAAATGGCACACGAGCCGCACGCAAATTCTCCATTTCAAAATTGAACTGCATTCTCGCCATCACTTACATTTCAAAATCGGTTTTTATTACAAAATCATACTTTCTCTAGCCTCCATATACACGCAAAAATAATAATAAATATTTAATCCATGGGGATTCTTTTTACCTCTTCGCGGCTCCACTAGTCTTTGCTGGTCTGCTAGGTGCAATTTTGATTTCCTTACGGATTTGCGTTTGCCTTGTCCTCTCACTTTGTTCTTCGTTCACCGGGCCTGGGCCTCTTTCTGTACCTTGATCAGACATTTTCAGCACAATTAACCTGGAAAGAAAGACTTTTAGTGTTCGTGAAAGGGCTTAGAGGGTTGCAGACACCACCAGAGAAACTTCTGGACAACACGAATTAGGGGCGGTATTCTGTTCCCGTATCAAACACAGCGGGTGTTCACAAAATGGATGCCAGCTCGAAATGCTTCGTATTGGACAAGACACTGTGGCCAAGATTATACAAATCAGAAAACAGAATTGTACAAGATCTTATCTGGGTGTAGGTTTGATAAGGGTAGAATGCCACAAAGCCCAAAAATCTAAGAGAAAAAAAATAGACTGGCATGAGGTTGAAATGAGATCCCCAGTGGCGGCAAATTGAATGCAGAATGTAAGCACACTGTACTCTGGTTTTCCTTTTAGTTCACGGAAACACAAGGAGCAGGGAAAAAATACACTTACGTATTCAGTACAGTCTGAAGAATATCTCAGCTCAAAATGAGACTAATGTCTCGGCTAGATCCGTGAAGAAACGACTTCAAAGTTAAGCAGATCGAAACAGCTGACACGGTTTTGCGGTTGAGTGCTTGGGCTGCTTGTTTAGGGAGCGTCGTTGAGTCTTTATAATCAAGACAGTTTGATGGAATTAATAATGTCACCGACACAAATTATAGCCCTTGAGTTGAAGAAATGTTGTGGCCAGTTGAGATTCCCTTGTTTCTTGGCTGTAGCTTGTTGAATGCCAGTCGTGAAATCAGGGCAAGATCTTGCTCTTTTAGCCCGGCTGTACTATGATCAGTTCCAATGTTCACGCGCCAGACAGCCTCAGTTTGTGTCTTCCCAAAGAGCCTGTAGCAAATAATCAAATGACCTTCCGTAGAAACACTCAGTAATTTAACCCTCTAGGAGCCTGAACTATTGGTTAAAAACCGAAAGAACTTGACGACAAATTACACCTTCGCATTCAGAAATGATATCGAAAGAGTATCTTGAAGAACAAAGACAGCTTCCCCTTGGGAATAGAAACTAATCAACAGACTACTCAAAAGTCTCAAGGGAATTGATCATCATTTTTCGAGGGGGACTGGTACCCAGTACACAAATGTAGTTTTTCGGCTTTCCTCTTATTTTGCTTTTTGTTTTACTTTGCATTTTTGTGAAACACAAACAAATAATATCTATGACGATGATCTAACTAAATTATCAAAAAAACAAGGAAGTCTGAGACTATTACGTCATTTGATTACGTCATCTGCGGCTCTTCCCAAGAGCTTCGTTTTCATCTCAGTGGAACAACCCACTGGTTTCATCCCATTCCAGTAGTCAACTCCTAAAGTCGTGTCAGTTCTTCTGTTTGTTTGTATGATCTATGATCTCTGAATAACAAGACACTTTCGTCGCCTCTGGTCGCCTCCAGGAACAAGAATGATTGCACAGTTGATTGCACACGGGTCACGGGGAGTCTGGCACTAGTGACATTGGAAGGAAACATGGCGGATGTCGAAGAAGCGGCGGAGGAACAAAATTTCCACCAAGAAAATGACGCGGAAGAGCAAATGGATGTAGATCAAGAACCTGAATTGGACAAGTAAGATTTTTTTGATGCACCCGTATCTTTGCAGCACATTTTTGTGTGATAGATTTTTTGCTTTCAATATTTTTCTGTTGCAGTTTTGGGAAGGCCGAGGCGAAAAAAGCCGAAGGAAATAAGGAATATGTGCAGAAACACTACGAAGAAGCTTTGAAGTTGTACACAGAAGCGATAGGTGTGTTTTGCATCGGTTTTCTTTGTTACCTAATGTAAATTTTTACATTTGATCATCGATTTGGTACAGAAAATCCAATCCTGATTCGCCATGTGACCAGTTTTTCCCCTCACCTTGCTTTCGGAAACTGAAATTTCACAAATGTCAGAACAAAACGTCCTGTTTGCACAAAAGGGGTGGTAAGCTAGAGTTGTATAAGTTATCAGTGTTACCTTGAACACATAAATGGATACATTTCAGAGTATATTTACACTTGTAACTTATGCCGGCCTCCAGAAGTTGGCAAGAAGGAAGTTGACGTTTCATTAGTGTCGTTTGGATACTGCTTTATTTGTAAAACTTTTTTATCATAGTTTGGATTTCCTATTCTGTTCGTGGTTTTGTGGCCATAACAGATCATACACTGTACATCACTGGGTAATGGTTACCCGTGGAGACTCTATTTCATTTGTGATTTTGTTTTTTATTCAGAGTTAGCTCCCACAGTAGCTACTTATTATGGGAATCGCTCAGCAGCCTTTATGATGTTGGGAACCTATGACAAGGCTTTGGAAGATGCTCAAAATGCCATCAGAATTGATGAGAATTTCCTCAAGGTCTGTTAATATCTCTTATCTGTTTGGGATCATGTGTACTAAAGGCATCGGCAGACTGTCAATTGTCGATCGATGTCCTCGATTGATACCCTCAGTCGATACCCTTGATTAATACCATCAATCGATACACTCGATCAATACTAGATTGGCACTCTGTCGACACCTCAGTTGATACTTGCTCAACACTCGATTGACATCTCGGTCAACAGGCAGTCGACAGTCAACTAAGATGTTGATGGATGCATAAGAGTCAGCCAACACTCAGCTGACTATCGGCCGACTATTGATCAAGTGTTCTTTGAGTGTCGATCAAGTATTGATCCGGATGTTGATGGAGTACAGATTGAGATGTCGATCGAGGGTATTGAATGCCTTTAGTACAAATGATACTTCACTTGTTCCCTGCTTGTTTCACCCCCCTCCCTCTTAACATCTACATGTACTTGGAATTCACCACCCCAAGGGACACTGCACTCCAGTTGCTACAGTTTATATTAAGCACTGACATGTGAGATGTCAACAACATTTATTGCTTTAAACCATTAGGCCTGAAATAAGGCATGAAATGTTTCCATTTATTGGTTAGTGCTTGATTCTGATTTTCTTGTGCAAGTTGGCTTCCAATCAGAGACCTCATAGAATATCAGTGTATAATTTCTAAGATCATGGATGTGCTAGCTACTGTTTGAAACTTATTGTTCTTGTACGTTTCAAAGGGTTATTACAGAGCTGCCAAGTGCCACCTTGTCATGGGCTCCATTGCAAATGCAGAAAATTATCTACAGAAGGTGCTCGAGAAGGACCCAAAGAATAAAGATGCGCAAAATGATGTAAGTATTTATTTAGGAATAAAACAAGAGAACCCAAGCCGTAACAGGGAGTTATCTTGTCCAAATCTCAGCTCTGTTCTGATTTATAATACAGTCGAACCTCCAATGGCTTTCAACAGCCTACAATGGCCACCTTTTTGGTTCTAGCAGATGGTCCATACATTCACTTATATTTTAACCTCTTTACAGTGGCCATCTCTCCACAACAGCAATGGCCACTAAAGCACATCCCAACTACCAAAATACCTGTAACCTCTTGACAACGGTCAGTTAATCATTTACTGACAAACCGTGTATACTAAACCCCATTTTTTATTTTAAAAGGTGACTGTCACAAGAATCGATCCAAACTGCGCATTGCTTTTTTATTTGTGACTGTTTCTGTTGCATCGGTATAAAAATACTGCACAAAGATGTCTCATATTGCAACCCTACATTGTACCTCCCCATAACAGCCAGCTCTCTACAATGGCCACTTTCCTCTGTCCCCAATGTGGCTATTGTGGAGCAGTTCGATTCTAAGTGGCTTTATGATCATCAACTGCAAATCCTTCCAGTAGAAAAATGGATGAAACAAGTAAGGTAGAACATTTCATGTCCTCTTTACACTAGACATGACATTCAGGGCACCGACAGCACAGTGACACTTAAATAAATCTTGTCATCCTTTTGCTCCTTTCAAAGTAACTTTGGCTTTCAGTGATCAAGGTCCTGAATACTCTAAGGTTATTTAATCGCCATTCACCACAAGGCCTACATAGTATAGTAGATGTGGTCTTAATTCATTTTGAGGAAACGATTGTCAATACACAACCTCGGCCTCTGCAAGCAATTCTTCATTCACCTTCTTTAGGAGATTTTTAAAATGTGTAACATCTTTAACTGAACCACACAACCCACAGCAACTTAGTCTGATTTCTGCTATCAGATGATGGATAAGTTTTCTTTGGTGTTTCCAGAATATTACCACCAGACATTGTAGCAGAACATCATATCGTTCCTGGTTTATTTTGGTGACAACACATCCCGCACTCCTGTAGGCTCAGTAGAGACAAAATTCCTACTAGGCCACACCTCCGTTCAATAATTTAATTATCATCTCCCAGATTCTGGGAGACACATGACCAGACCCAACCAGGGTCTCTCCTCTCTGGCCCAGGAGGGCAGGAAGATGAGAGATCCTGGGTTGGGTTGGGTGGGAACTGGACACTGGTATAGCCTGGGGATTTGTTGTATTCAATATCAATCCTGTTTTATTGACAGCTGCGCACAACAAGGATGGTTCAAGAATTTGAGTCATCAGCGTTTCAAGCCCATGATAAAGAGGATTACAGAAAGGTTTGGGATCATGTTCAAAATTATTGTGTATGGCATGTAAAATTACGCATTCTTACTGTGTATGTGTGCCATGAAATAAAATCACCTTAAAAGTAAATTGACAAGGAATTGAACGTGGAATTTAGTTAGAGATGGGAACAATAATATAATTGTAGCATTGCCTAGGAACATACCTAAGAAAACTGGCTTTCTGCCCCTGGCAGCTCCAAAGTTTGCCTAGTGAGTCTTTTTCATCAGCCATCAGCTGGCCCTGATCACGTTTTTAGTGGCAGTTTTCAATAATAACTGAAGCAGGTGGCTGCTTAGGCACAGCACCTGTTTGAGAGCAAAAAGGGAGAAGGTCCATAACAAGTTCCTCAAGAGGCCAATTTTTGGAAGCTGCATATTATAGCTGCTGATTGGCTGCAGAATACCCACCAGAGCTTCTTCAGTGGGTGTCAGGTCTCATTGAAAGCACTGATTGTAGTTATATATTGAAAATGGCCTGATTAAGTGTCTCTGTTTGTTTGTAATTTTTAGTCCATACTCACTGTATCTTAAAGGGGCTAAGTCACGGTATTTTGAGTTATTTTGGCCACTTCCAAAATTACCTTTAAATTAAAGGAAACCTGAAAATAACAGGTTAATAAGATAGAAAAACACCAAAGAGATAATGATAAACCATAAAGGAACAAGGATGGCTAAGGATGGAGAAGATTAACACGGATTACAAACGACGAATTTGAAAAATTGAGGCTAAACCTTTCAATATGCGCAAACCGTGACTGAGCCACGAGCACTGATAAGTTAAATTTCAAATTTTCTTTATTAATATCTAGGTGGTGTTCTGTATGAATCATGTTCTTGAAGCTTGTCCAGCTTGTGTTCTCTACAAAGTGATGAGGGCAGAAGCTTATTGCCTGTTGGGGAAATACAGTGAAGCACTAAATGATGTACAGTAAGTTGAACCTGTATCTTAAATGTTAGAGAAATGTAGAGCTGGAGAAAATACTTGATATACTAGTCAGTATTAGTCAAGCTGTCTCTCCATGTTTTAAAGTTTATTATCTACTTAATCTGGTGGGAGGCACGGTGGCCTCATGGTTAGTGCGCTCATCTCCGGAACAAGCGGTCCAGGTATGAGCAGGGGACATTGTGTTGTGTTCTTGGGCAAGACACTTTACTCTCACAGTGCCTCTCTCCACCCAGGTGTATAAATGGGAACCAGACTACTTAATGCTGGGGTAACCCTGGGATGGACTTTCATCCCATCCAGGTGGAGTAGAAATACTCCTAGTTGCTTCATGCTACAGAAACCAGTGAGGATAAGCTCTGGCCGATGGGTCACTTGGCTTGTATGCAGACTTAACCTTACCCATCTACTCAATCTGTGTTTCATCCTTAGGAATATCTTAAGAAATGACTCAATAAATTCAGATGCACTTTATGTCAAAGGACTCTGTCTATACTATCAGGTAAGACATGTGAACTCTGCCCATGACCACTCTTGAATTACATGGAGCTTTCATTTTCATGTGAAGTTTACATATAGAGAAGGATTCTGAATTAGTCTTGACTGATAGACCATGGAGGTTTGTAAATTGAGATGACTCTGCCTTACAAAACATTGGTTAGAATATTTGAACAAAATTATACAAGGTCCCACAAAATTTTGTCAGAATGTTTAACAAAGCCAAACAAAATTTTTTCGCAAAATTATGCATCAGTAGACCCAATACGCTTTTGAATTTTTGATGAAAATTCTTCGAAGTTTTGATGGAAACAAAATTTTATTTATTTGTGCCAAAAAGCCCCACAATTCACGAATTTGGCTGAATATCATTTGCAGTACCTTTGCACAGTACTGTAGTTAAGGATTAGATCTGATAGTAAGAGAAAGACATGTGACTGTATTATTCTGAAAGCTTATTTTTGCTTTCTACTTCAGGATTTTGTTGACAAAGCTTACCAACACTTCAACCAAGTTCTTAGACGAGACCCTGACCATAAGAAGGCAAGAATTGCATTAAAGGTACAAATCATTTAGCATGCATGCTCAGTTACTCAAAACCCCATACTCCTAGAGCTGCATTCATTTACTGTTTGTTACTATTAACCTGATATGACCTATGGGTTGCTCAGAGTTGACTAGCTGTCTGACCCATACAGTGAAACAGTGGTTTAAAGAAAAGTACAGTTGGTAATTTTCTTGCAATGATTTGTTTCTCCTTTCTATAGAAAGCGAAACATCTACAGTCCAAGAAGCAAGAAGGCAATGAATGTTTTTCCAGTGGAAAATATCAGGAGGCTTTTGATATCTACACTGAAGCTTTGACGATTGATCCTTGCAATAAATCAACAAATGCCAAGTTGTACTACAACAGAGCACTTGTTGGTTCAAAGGTGTGTACATTTTCTGTCCTTTTATTTATGATGTAAAAAGGTAATTCATACGCATGAAAAATAAGTATAGGTAAGCATATGAACGTGATTGCAATAGTCAAGATTTACAAGACGAGTGATATGATTTTGAAAATTCTCTCAAAATTGCACGAGCCTTCAGGCAAAATTATGCAATTTGAAAGAATTTTCAAACATCTCTCATATTGGAAATTCTTTTTTGTTTGGGCTTTCATACATGATTACTCATTTATTATATGACTGAGATAGTTACAAATGTGTACATGTAGGGAGGCGCGGTGGCCTCACGGTTAGTGCGCTCATCTCCAGATCAAGCGGTCTGAGTTCGAGCCCTGGCTGGGGACATTGCATTGTGTTCTTGGGCAAGACACTCTACTCTCACAGTGCCTCTCTCCACCCAGGTGTATAAATGGGTACCGGCCAACTTAATGCTGGGGGTAACCCTGCAATGGACTAGCATCCCATCCAGGGGGGAGTAGAAATACTCCTAGTCGCTTCATGCTAAGGAAACCGGGATAAGCTCCGGCCTGGTGGGCCACTTGGCTCGTATGCAGACTTTACCTTTACACGTTAATTTGCGTGGCACTGAAATAGAAAAATTATTGAAAAATTGGCCTTCCCTCTGCCAGTCACAATGAAGTAATTTTTTCAGTCATATAATAAGCAATAAAAATGGAATGGTGCTTCAGTTTTGTCATAATACCATAATATCAAGTTCAAAATAATTAAAATAACCTATTTGTGAAATTTCTGGGATTTTTTGGTCATAGGGGTGGTATCCAGTGGGGGGATACTCCCAGAAAAATTGGGTGGGGGTGTGTGGCCCGCTTCCCAAAACCCTTACACTATTTATGATGAAAATCTGCGATTTTCCCTACCCTATTTATGACCTGACTAAAATTTGATATCCTATTTATGATGTTGCGACTGGCACAGTTGCTATAAACATAATTTTATGAACGGCTTTTGTTGATGGTCTTATCGATAATGATGGAAAAGTAGCTTCTTCTAAAAAACAACATACCCAGTTCAAGACAAGAGTACAAAAACCGTACCCTATTTGTGACCAAAACGGCCAAAATCAATGCCCTATTTATGAACAAAAATGAAAAACTTTGGGGCCACACATACCTATATAGCCCATTTAAGGAAGAAACCCCTGGGGGGGGGGGTAGGGGGTAAACACCATAGATGTACGAGTAACTTCCAACTGGTCTTTTGGAATAAGATGCACTAGTTTTTGATAACAAGTAAAATTAAATCATTTCCTTTGTTTTCAGCTAAATGAAACAGAGAAAGCCATTGAAGACTGCAGTCAAGCTTTAGAATTGGACTCAACGTACCTGAAAGCTTACATCAAAAGAGCAAAATGGTTAGTTCACACTTAAAAATCCCTGTTAACGAATAAAAGTTTAGAGGCAATTTTGAGCTGCATTTATAGCGTAATGTACTTTGGACTCCAAGCTAATTACAAACTATGTTTCTTTATGTTTAAGTTACATGGAAACAGAAAAATACGAAGAAGCTGTCAGAGATTACGAGAAAGTTTGTAAAATGGACAGAGCACGAGGTGAGACTGTAGGAAGACTAGAGATCTAAGCTGCGCTGGTTGGAGCGCACTTTCTGATAGTATCACAGATAAAATGTGATGATTAAATTGTGTGGGGTTTTTTCTTTTTTTCAGAGTACCGACGAATGCTTGAAGAGGCAAAATTGGAATTGAAAAAAAGTAAAAGAAAAGATTATTACAAAATTTTGGGAATACCCAAGGGTTGTGCTGAGGATGAAATCAAAAAAGGCTACAAGAAAGAAGCATTGAAACACCATCCAGGTAAGATGGACAGGTTTAGTGTAGAGTATCTTGGTGGGAACTCAGTTGTTTCTTTCACGGTAAAGTGAATGAGCACGCCATGTCTTTTATAGATTGGTTTTGCCTCTGCAAGTTGTGTTAGCCGTGAAAACAGCTCTAAGCTCATTAAGACCTAACCTAAGCTGTCTTTTTATGACAGATCGTCACTCAGGGGCTTCAGATGAAGTGAAGAAGAATGAAGAGCTGTTGTTCAAAGAGGTTAGAGACTTAAATTTTCATGATTGGTGAAAGTTTGTTGTTTTATTGAAGAATTAAAAACTAGGCTAACATGAATGGAAAATGCTTGTTGTTACCAGTTATTCAAGATTCTACTGCAAGTTCTACGAAGCCTTCAGTTGATATCTTGCTGCTATTTTTCTCTTTTAGGTAAATGAAGCATACAGTGTATTATCAGACCGCAGGAAAAGGGCCAGATACGACTCAGGACAAGACCTCGAGGATAACTTTATGCCATCAGGTATTTACTTGACAGTCTGCAGTCAACTCTTGTAGCTCAGTGTAAGGGTTGGGTCTGGATGGTCCTGCTGGAATCTTACATACCGGTGAAATTTTCAGCGAGGACTCATCGATCAATTAAAATTCCAGTTCATTTTTCGGGTGTCAGTAAATCTTGTTGATCGAAGTTATCAGTTAGAAACATGCGTCATTTGTCAGCTGACAGCGAAAATTTGGACTCATTCTCAACTATCAGTTGAACCCCATCTAGACTCTCTTGGAGTGCTATCTGTCTGTCTGTCTGTCTGTCTGGCTGGCTGTTGATCTGTCTGTCTGTCTTCCTGTATGTCCCTCTGTCTGTCTGTCTGTCTGTCGATCTGTCTGTCCGTCTGTGTGTCATGTGTGGAAGGTCACAGTTGACTCTCGTTGGAAGAGCTCCGAAACGATCAAGCTTAACATTTAGATTTGAACCTCTCTTTACAAACACCTCCACAATACGGACGCACTCGTTTATATTTCTACATATAGAGTATGTGCACCTCAGTTACACGGACAATCAGCTCTGGCCCTTTGGTGTCCGTGTTATTGAGGTTCGACTGCACCGTTGTTATATTTCCACGAAATCGGAAAATTTGGAAAGTTTTATCGTTTCCAAAAATCGTTCCTAGCCCAGCTTGATTTCAAGTGTTAAATCTATTCAGTTTCGGTGCTGAATGTTTTTCTTTTTTCTTTATTTTATCAGATTTCGACCCCAATACAATATTTCAAGCGTTTTTCGGCGGAGCACCCGGCGGATTTGGCGGTTTTCCCTTTGGTGGACCAGGAGGTATGTAGACATACGTGTAACCCTGAGTCATGCACTCAAATGTAACGCAATTTACACCGCGTTTGTTTAATTTGCGACAATTTTGTCACGTGGAAAATCACACCCAAGCGCATGATAACGCGCAACGTTGATGACAGGTGCCGTGGTCGTAAACGCTTTTGACTGATATATATTTTTTTTCCTTAAAGGTGGAGGTGGTGGATACTCGTCTGGTGGATTTCCAGGTGGATTCCAGTTCACGTTCGGTTAACATGACATCATATTTAATGCGTATCATTACCCATCATCCTCTGCATGCCACGATGAACAAATATGCTGCTGACAAGACATCACGGCTGGCTCAGGCGGTCGGACGCGTTATTGTTATTTTACTTCTCCTTGGTCAATAACACTGTTACTCATTCTTACGAGGAGTTTCCCTGAAAGAACCCAGTTATCCTTGGTTCTTGTGTCATGAAGAACAGAGACGGTTAATTTTTTTCGCAAAGAGATGAAAAAGTATGAATACTAATATTCAGCTGAGAGGCGAAGTTCTTCCTGGGGGGGGGGGGGGGG